ATATAAAACCAGAACATTAGCATTGGCACAAAGCTAATTGGATGCATTTAATCACATGTAACCTCCACCTCAAGCTAAAGAACTATTCCATTAACATAAAGATCTCTTTGATAAAGATCTCTTTATAATCACACATAATTCATAATTAAACCCATTTTGACAAAGGAATATATGAAACTACTTGGTTTTCCTGGTGATTCTACCAAATATTTAAAGAACAAATAGCACCAATTCTACACACTTTCTTCCAAAAAATACAAAAGAAAGCAACATTTCCCAATCTACAAGGAGTGGCCAGATTATTATGATCTCAATGCATATTAATCTGGCCACTTAGTGTATATCTTACATAATAAAAGGCTAATATGCAAATTGCCCCCTAACCACGAGTTCAACCAGGAGTCAAAGAATTATAAGACATGACACCAAAAACACAATATTTTAAAAGTTGATAATTTTAGCTGGAAAAAAAATATTGTGAAGAAAACAAAAAGCCAAGATACTGATTTGGAAATATACTTGCAAATCCCTTTCCATCACAGGACTTGTATTCAGAATATATAAAGAACCGCAGAACTCAACAAAACTCAAGTAAAACATGTATAAAAAAATTAACAGACTTCTGGTCAAGATGGTGGTGTAGGTAAATGCAGTTACTGGAATCCTCTCACAACCACATCAAAATGAAAATAAACTACAAAACAATCATTATTCAGAACTGCCTGAAGTCTAGCTGAATGGAAGTCCTACAATTAGGGATTTAAAAAAGAAGCCACATTGAGACTGGTAGGAGGGGTGGAGATATGGAATCAAGCTTGTCCTGCAACCACATGTGCCAGATAAAAATCAGAAGGTATATCTTGGCTGTAGAGCACCCCCCTGAGGAACCCTAGCGCCACACTAAATACCGCCCCCTCCCCCAGCCCAGGGTTCCAGTGGCAGGACGAGAAAAACCCTATACTTTCTGGCTTTAAATACCAGTGGGTTGGGTGACTGAAGGAGATGGAAGCTGAGAGGAATTGAGGCTGCTAGAGTCCCAAGCACTTCCTCTTAGAGGGCCTTTGTACTGACTCGGGCTTGCTCCCTCTGAACTCTAGCACTGGGGCAGCAGCTCCAGAGGCACAAGGGACATATGGGGAGGAACTGAATTTTCCAGCATTAGGGCAAGAGCTGGAGGGGCAGCTTTCTGTCAGACAGAAGTGCTGGCAGAGACACTAGTTCCCTTGACAAGCCCTCCCCCCACAAAGCCCTTAGGGAAGCGCCATATCTGAGTCTCCATCAACCTGGCTCATACTGTTTGCCCTGCCCCTTTGATCCCCTGAGGCCACCCATGTTGTTTCCAGTAGCTTTTCTATACAAACTGCCAATCTTAGCTCCTGCTGTGGACTTTCCTGAAAATCTCTTAAAGGTTCACAAATTGCAAACAAGCAGCATCTAGCCTTGGCATGCCTCGTACCTCTCACTAAGAGGCCTCAGGCCTGGAACTAATGGCAGCCAGTGTTGGTTCCCATCTTGGACTCTCCTGGGCACCTGCAAGCCCAGCACAAGTAGCAGCCATCTGCAGATCACTGTCCAGCCTGTGCTGGGTGGCCCCAGTCAGGGCACAGGTGGTGGCTGACCTTGCACCTCCCAGGAGGCTTTAGAGTCAGTGCACCCAGTGGAGTGAAAGATTAAACAAAGGCCATTGAGAAGGAAAACCCAGGTCTGTAGATGGTGTGCGGAGAGCAAAGTGAATCTAAGAGAGAATAGGAGAAACTGGAAAATATACTGACAATTCTTTAATGAAGTTTTGCTACAAAGAAAAACGGAGAAAAGGTATAGGAAATGGGGTAAAGAGTTTATTTAAAGATGAAATAACAGCATGTTGTACGATGAGGGGAATACTCTAGCAAAAACTGATGGTGTTGGGGAGAGAACAGACTGGCTAGAGTGATGCCCTGGACACAGGTAGCTCATCTACAGTAACGGGCAGGGAACAGAGGGAGGCATTGGTGGAAATGGTGGTAGAAACCTGCAGCGGTGGGAGTCTCCACTTGCATTTTCTTAGTAAAGTAGGATGGAAGGGGAAGGTGATGGGAAGAACTGAAGAGAGGTGTGAGATCCTCATTTGGGAGAATGGCTCAGAGCAAGCAATGTTGGAATTATTGAAGTGAGGGCAGTCAGGATGCTTCTGTTTTCCTCTAGCCACAATTAGCTGCACTGCTGTCATATGTAGATGGAGAATTGGTTTTCTCCAGGGTTCTCATTTACCAAGCAGATACGATGAGGTGACTAGATGAGGGAGTTAAGCTCCTCACAAAGGCTGACCATGAGTTTAAGCTAGCAGCACACTAGGGAGGGAGAACTCATCAAGGGAGGAACTAGTAAGAGGTGGGCTGGAGATACTAGTAGGGTTGCAGGAGTTTTGGTTTAGGGGCATTAGAGGGAATAACTTAGAAACATAGGAAGCGGTCATCAGAGTGGGGTGCTTCCGGGGTTGCAGACTTTAGACTTGACATGTTCTAGGGTGTGATCACAGGGCACCGAGGCTGTGCCAAGTTAGAATATAAGAGTGGGACACACGGAGCCAAGTAAATGTTAGAAGGATTACTACTTGTATACTGAAATCTCCAAGAATGAGGGTTAGCATTAAAGTTACAAAATCATAAGCTCTTCACAGATGAGGAAGTGTGTGCCCTGGAGGGTAGCCTCGCTGGCAAGGCAGTGTATAGTGATGCAGAGCGAATGCCTGAGGATACTGAGGGAGAACTTGAGCTCGCTGTAAAGGGCATCGAGGATAGGGGGTCTCAATTACTAAAGTGTGCCTGGTTTTATGAGGCAGATCTAAGTCCTGGAGGTAGGGGTGGCACTGGTAGGATACTGAAAGGAAAACCTCCAAGACCAGAGGGGGATACAAACTCTGTAGGCAAAGGCATCTAGCTCACCCGAAATGGGCTCAGATGAATCCACAGCAGACCTTGGGGTGGGAATGGGCAAACCTGTGCTAGAGGACAATGGCAAGAAGCTGCATTCCCCCATGGCAAGTCCTTTCCCAGGAACAGAGGAAGGCCGAGGCAGTCCACGCCGGGTCAGTGGGTCCCTGCCCTGAGTCTGCTGCTCCTGGCAAGCGAGAATTACAGCCCGAGACTCGCCAGGCGCCCTCCTCCCTAAGGCGGAGCGAGAGGTCGAGCCACAGCGGCTCCTCACCCCACCCTCCACCCCCACCCCCACCCCGTGATATCCCACCAGGCCCGCCGGGGATGGCAAGGGGACTCCGGTGACCAGAACTGTTACTTCCTGCTTTTGCTCCGCAGCGAGGAACGGTGTCAGGCCGCACTGTGGCCACGGCCTCCGGGGTCGCTGGGCATTCGCAGCGCACGCTGGTCGGAAACCCAGAAGAGTAAATATTTTTGGCTTAGGGCCGCAACCCCCGGAAACCGGCCGCCTCCGCTAGCCAATCACGTCTTCCTTGCGGCTCTCCCCGGAAAGTCTTCCCCCCGCCGGTCCCTTTCTTCGGTCCCCGCCTTGTTTCCGGCCGGCGGGTGGAATGGGTGCGCAGGCCGCCTTTCCGGTTCCGGCGCGGTCCACGCGGGGTGAGCGGCGGCGCTGTGAGCAGGGTAAGCGCCGTGGACAGGGGCAGGGGGCGGGGGCGGGGGCTCCGGGAGCTTCGCGAGCCGAGTGCGCGGGCAGGTCCTCGTTCGGTCTCGGGCAGCCTGCCGCCCGGGAGTCCCTGAGGCTCTGGGCAGGCACCGTGCGTACCTCCGGGGAAGTGCTCCTTAGTGGTTGGGGGAGTGGCTAAGGAATTCGCCCTGCCTGGACCCGGAGAGAGGGGGCCGGGAGAGCGGGAGGGCTTTTCACTGCGGCGTTATCCTGGCCGGTGACAGGCCTGAGCCAGGCCCGTTAATTCCAAAAAGTGTTCCCTCTCTCTCCACCTAACCGCCACCCCAAAGGATAAAGCCATCAAGTACATGCAAGTTCGAAACCAAAGTCCAGCTGAGTAGAAAAATCATGTCGTGAAATCACACCGCTGTTTAGTGTCAAAGTGCTCCTAGAACCCAGCTCTCCTAACTCCCGATTAATAATTCTTGACGTTATGCTGGTATATGTGGACTTTCTATTCCGCTGTGTGTGGGGGAATCGGACCGATCTCCCACAATGCACCTTCTGCTGTGGCCCTTACTGCATGGCTCTGGAGACATTAGTTTGGAATTCCTCCACTAGTCACCTAATGATGGCCATCTCCTGGCACACTGCCTAGTACATCATAGGCAGACACGGATATTTATTGAACGGAAGTGATCTCAATCCAGTGGTTCCCAGTTTATGGGCCATGAATTTCTGGGATGCTCAGAAATCCAGAGGGTTTCTGCAGATGTGTGGTTTTCCAGGCATCATCCACAACCAGTCATCTCACACTAGTAGATATTACTATTTCTTAAGTGTATGTAGGTCATTATAATTTAAAAATTGTACAATATCAAACTAAAAGTAATACTGCTATCATGTTGGGGGTTATTAAAATGCTTTAATTTTTTAAAATAAAATCCCTTTAAAATATTTTAAGTTTGGAAGCCACTTTATTAGTTCAGTTGCTATTTAGAGCTGAGCTGTCCAAATAGTCTAGTCAAATATGACTATTTAAATTTAGAATTAATTAAGATAAAATGTCAATTTCTCAGTTTCACTTGGTACATTTTAAGTTCCTTAGGCACATGTGGCTAGTGACTACCGTATTAAAAAGTATAGCTATAGAATGTTTTCATCGTTGCAGAAATGGACAATGCTAATACAGAGACTTAAGATGAATAGATAGTAATCTAAGCAGAGGTAACTAATTTATAGCAGAGCAGTGAAATTTGGCATAGTAAGTATTTCCTACCCTTCTTGGGTGAATATATATGTATCTCTTTTTAAAGAAATAAATTTACTGTTTTTCTCTGAGTGTAGTTTGGATTGTAAAATGCTTCCTCCACCCCCACCTTATTCAATGTAGGTTACTTGTGAATTGGTAAAAAGCCACCATGGAGACCAAGGACCAGAAGAAACACAGGAAGAAAAACAGTGGGCCCAAAGCTGAGAAGAAAAAGAAACGGCATCTGCAAGACCTCCAGCTTGGCGATGAGGAAGATGCCCGGAAGAGAAACCCCAAAGCTTTTGCGGTCCAGTCCGCCGTGCGGATGGCTCGATCCTTTCACAGGTATGTTTAGTTAGGTACTTCTAGGGGTTCTTTCATTTTATTTTTTTCTGTAAATAATGTATTTTTATTGATTTCAGAGAGGAAGGGATAGGGACATCAATGATGAGAGAGAATCATTGATCAGCTGCCTCCTGCACACCCGCCACTGGGGATGGAGCTCACAGCCCAGGCATGTGCCCTGACCAGGAATGGAACCAGTGACTGTCAGGTTTACCACTGCCCGGGCTAAACATTAGTGAATTATATTCTCCCAGTAGAAGAGCCAAATTTAACTCGATAGCCTCTGCTCTTATTCATTATTCATTATGATATACTGCCTCTATGTTTGCTTTTTTTTTTTTTTTTCCTCTTTAAACTAATGTAATCAACTAATAAAGCAATAAGATTTAAGGTTTGTATAGTTTTCAACTTTTTTTTACTGTTAAAGTTAATCTGTTTTTCTATTTACTAAAGTGGTTATTTGGATTGGCATCAATAGTTTTAACATGTTTATTGTATCTATATATTGTCTGTTCTGCTCTCTTTAAAATCTTTACATACAGGAATACTGCCTTTTAAATTTTGAAAATGAATTTATTTATTTATTTTTTAACAAATAGGACTCAGGATTTGAAGACAAAAAAGCATCATATTCCAGTGGTTGATCGAACTCCACTCGAGCCCCCACCAATAGTGGTGGTGGTGATGGGGCCTCCAAAAGTTGGCAAGAGCACTTTGATCCAGTGCCTCATTCGGAACTTCACCAGGCAGAAGCTAACAGAGATCCGAGGCCCTGTGACAATTGTGTCAGGTAGGCGGTGCTGCCCAGACTGACATGGCAGGTGGTGTCGTCTGAGAAGCATGCATGTCCTTGTTGAAATTTGGTTTCCCCTCTGGTAAATGCTAAAGTAATATTGTCACTTCATGTTACCTCTCTTGTAGTTTTACTAAGTTGGCTGTAATTTCAGAAAAAGATAAATTCCTCGAGATAATAACGATACAGATGTATACCTTATTCTGACTGCAGTATGGGTTTGCTGGGATGCTCCTCTGAAAGGCTTGGCCGGCCTGGACAGGCTGGCGTGGTCATGGTGAGCACCTTCAGTGAACAGATAGCAAGTATTTTCCTTTCTTGTGGAAGTAACAGTTTTCCTCGTTCCTGTAAGATTTATCTGCTTTGGAAGGTGGTGACCTTTCTAAATTTGAGGGAAGATGAAACTAATTCCCAAAATGACAGTGGTAGAATCTGAACTTTCTCATTATAGCAACAATAAGCATGGGTCCACTTCTATCTGGGTTTTTTGTCTTATAAGTATATAGTTAGCTTTTGTATCCCCAGGTTTCACATCTGCAGAGTCAACCAACTATGGATTGAAAAGAATGTTTTTCACCTGTGGTTGGTAATCTGCATATGCGAAGGCCAACTCGATGCATTGTTATGAGTCATTTTATGTAAAGCAGTTGAGCCCCTTTGGCTTTTGATATCCACGGGGATCCTGGAACCAATCCCTGCTGATACCAAAGGACAACTCAAATTTTGGGGGAGTCAAAGATTATATGCAATTTTCTACTGCACAAGAGTTGGCATCCCTAACCCCCTCATTGTTTAAGGGTCAGCTATAGTTGGACTGAGGCTTCTCTTTGTCTTTAAGACAGTTTTGTAATGGTGATGATTTCTTTACACTTATTTTAGAAATGATTGTTCCACGAACATTCTGTTGTATTAGGTTTGAGGATTTTTTTAGCTATAGTGGGAACACAGGAAGCTTTGATAGAGGTAGAAGCTCTGGCCCATTACTGAACAGCAGGATCAGGGTCATCATGAAATCCACTTGTCTGTCCATTCTAGTCAGGATTGTACCTGTTTGAGCACTTGATTCATTTGAGCAGTCTTGGTATTTTAAAATTAGAGAACCTAGCAAGAAAACCAAGATGAAATATACCTTATCAATTTTCTCCTATAAAGTGAATTTCTGGCATACTGCTATAAGTGTATAAGGTGCTTGATGCAGTTAAAAATGTTAATTAGCATTAATAGATTAGTACATTTTTTCAAAAGTACAATTTTCATCTTTTCACTTAAAGGTAAAAAGCGCAGACTCACCATTATTGAATGTGGATGTGACATTAACATGATGATTGACCTGGCTAAAGTAGCAGATTTGGTAAGTTAGTGTGGGCAGTGGCTTTCTGACGGGGACTTAGAGCAGGTTGTGGGTTATTTATCCCGTGTTGAAGAGAAGAAAGGCTTATGGTTTTTAAGGAAGTGGTGAGTGTTATGAGGGATGCAATAGATGTACTTGATAATGATGGTCATAATAATTTATGCATAATATAGATGAAACAGTAGTAATGGTTCATTTCTTGGACCCTTAGTGGGCACTGTGCTAACAGCTTTCTATAAATATAGCTCATCTAATCTCCTAGAATGCCTTAGAGGTAAATAGTTATTATCTCCAATTTCGATGGAATCAAGACTCCCAGAAGTTAAATGGTTTGTCAGAGGGTGGGAACTCTCCTCTTAGATGATGCCAGAACCTCCGTTCTAAATGATTATGATAAAACAAATCTCTGGGTTGCCCATGAGAAGTTGTCAGAGTCTAAAATAAAACATCTCTACAGTATTCAGCATATGGAAACTGTGCAGCCTCCATTGCATTTACAGAAATGTTACTGTGCAAAAAATAAAGCCTCATTGCATTTACAGAAATGTTACTGTGCAAAAATAAAGCCTTCATCCTCCTCCCTCCGCCCCCACAAAAAGTTAAGCCATATTGCTTAGAAAATGTGCGGTAATAGATAAATACCTTGTTGTTTGGGGGTTTTCTTCATTCAACTTTCCAGATAGCTGTTTGGTGAGAGAGCTAAAGATTTTATTCTTTAGCCCGAGAAATTTTCTGAAATGAAAAATAATTTAATACGATGTTATGACTATCCCATTTTAATATCAGAAAGATAAATACTATTCAAGTTTTCAACATGTAATGCTACCATTAATAAAAATATTGTCAGCACAGAATAGTATAAACTTATTAAATCTTACACAAGTGAAATGATTGAAAACTTAGCAAATGAGTCATTAGTTTTTCTTTTATGTAAAATACTAGAGGCCCAGTGCATGAAACTCGTGCATGGGGGTGGGTGTCCCCTCAGCCCAGCCTGCACCCTCTCCAATCCAGGACCCCTCGAGGGATGTCTGACTGCCAAATATCCCTTTCACAATCTGGGACCACTGGCTCCTAACTGCTCATCTGCCTGCCTGATCACACCTAACTGCTCCCCCTGCAGGCATAATTGCCCCCCACCCCCAACGACCTGATTGCCCCTTAGTGCCCCCTTACCTGCCTGGTTGTACCTTACTGCACCCCCTGCCAGCATGATCATTCCTAGCTTCCCCTCCCCCCTCTCCCCCCCCCCCCCCCCCCCGCCAGCCTGATTGCCCTTCACTACCCCCCTCTGCTGGCCTGTTCGCACCTCATGGCCCACCCTTCACCCCTCTGCCCCCCCCCCCCCCCCCGCAAGTCTGGTCGCCCCCAACTGCCCCTCTTGTGGGCCTGGTAGCCCCATCAGCCTGCTGCTCTGTTGTTTGGTTGCCCCTCACTAACCCCCCTGCAGCCTGGTCGCCCACACAGCCTGTTTGGTTGACCAATTTTGGATGCCATGGTTGCTTAATCTTTTATATATATAGATTCCAAGTCCTAATTTTATTATTTCAGAGCAGCAGGGAGAGGGAGAGAGAGATAGAAACATATGTGATGAGAGAGAATAATTGACCAGCACATCTCACACTGGGGATGGAGCCCATAACCCAGGCATGTTCCCTGACCAGGAATTGAACCATGACCTTGTGGTTCACAGGTTGATGCTTAACACCATTGAACCATGCTGGCTGGGCCCAAACCATAATTTAAAAAGTATACACATATTAAAAAATAAGCCTTTCATATACATTTTAAAAAATATATATTTTATTGATTTTTTACAGAGAGAAAGAGAGAGGGATAGAGAATTAGAAACATCGATGAGAGACAATCATCAATCAGCTGCTTCTTGCACACCCCTACTGGGGATGTGCCCACAACCAGGGCACATGCCCTTGACCGGAATCAAACCTGGGACCCTTCAGTCCACAGGCTGACGCTCTATCCACTGAGCCAAACCAATTCGGCTACTTTTTTTTTAGTTTAAAAAGGAACACATCAATTTGGTAAAATATTCAAACTGTACTATAGGGTGCAAACAATGCTTGTTTTCTGTTTCCTTGCTTCTCTCAGTTTCCCTCACAGCGCATCCTTTCAGATAATGTCTATACATACACATAATCCCTTTTGAAGCACATGCTGTTTATTATACTCAGGTGCTTTGTGTTTTTTTCACTTAGCATTTCTTGGAGGTAAATAAGTATTGTAGCTCAATCTTACTAAGTATTCCATTGTGTGTACATAATTTATTTAACCTGGTTTTTGTTGATTGCTCTGCTCTGGGTTGTTATAAAGCCTTCTAAGTCACAGCAGGCATACATAATACATGGATTTATGTTTGCATGCACATGTGTGTGCATTGGAGGAGGAATACAGGTTTCATTTATCTTCAGTTGGCAAAGGTTGTTACTAAGACAAAGATTGTGTTTGCCACCAATTTTTCTGATCATACAACTAATTGCTTGCCCCTTGTCACTCCATGTTGTCAAATGGGATGTGGGGATACCACAGCCAGCCCGCTCAGCTCTCTGCAGCCCTGCCTATGCTCTGCAGCAGCAGCTATACTTTCCCACAATGCTCAGCAGCCCACCTTCATTGAGTTTGTGGTTCAGGATTATGAATGTTCCATAATTTAATCAGATAAGTTTTTCTGTATTTAAAAATTATATTTTTAAAATATGTGTTTATTGATTTTCAGAGGAAGGAAGGGGGAGAAAACCAGAAACATCAGTGATGACACAGAATCGTCTATCGACTGCCTCTTGTACGCCCCCTACTGGGGATTGAGACGGCCACTGTGCATGTACCCCATTGGGAATCAAACTGACCTGGTTCATGGTTGACACTCAACTACTGAGCCACACTGACAGGGCTAAAAATTATTTTTAATTATCTACAAAAAGATGAGGACAGAAATGTAATATCTTAAAACTAGAAGTCTCTAGGGGTCAACTCTGAAATTATTTGAAGGGTCATCAATTTAAAAAATTGGTCTTATCTGCTTTTCTTATAGATTACCATTTATAACTTTATTATCTTTTGACTCCATTCTAAACTGGTAGCCTTCTATTTTTAGTTTCTGAGCAATTGTATTTTATAAATTAATATATATAATAGAGCTTTCCTACTGCATGCTTCCCAGCAAAAGACTTGTTTTCCATATGAGAAAATTGAAACAAAAATATTTGGTTTTCTCTAATTTTTTTATATTTTTCATTTATATCACTTCCAATTTTTTATATCAAAGATTTTGTTTCTTTGTTAGAGATACCTGTTATTTGGCTTAAAATCACCTTGCCAAACAGTTTATTTCTTGAAGTAAGAACTTTTGCAGGTAAGGGCTAAATTAGATGCAGCCTTTTCTGAGTTATTTCTCAGACATCAAAATTCCTGACGTGGAGGTTTATATCTGGGTGGATACTATCTCATGTTTGCTTTTTAGAGCAGGTCAAAGGTATTTTTTTTCTCTTATGATAAAATTACACCTAAATATACACTTGATTTTAGTCTAGAGCAGGAGTTAGCACTTTTTTCAGCAAGAGGCCAGATGTTTAATATGTTAGGCATTGTGGGTCATAGTTTCTGTTGCAACTACTTAACTTTGCAGCTGTAGCTTAGAAGCAGGTGTAGAGCCCTGGCCGGGGCTCAGTGGTTAGAGCGTAGGCCCATGGACCAACAGGTTTCGGGGTCAATTCCTCTCAAAGGCTCGTACCTTGGTTGCAGGTACCCCAGCCCCAATAAGGGCGCATGTGGAAGATAACCAGTCAATGTCTCTCCATGCTGATGCTTTTCTTTCTATCTCTCTGTCTCCTCCCACTCCCACTCTAGAAATCATTGGCGGGAATATTCTTGGGTGAGGATAAAAAAGCAGAAGCAGGCAGTATAAGTGAATCACATGGCTGGAGTCCAGTAAAGCTTCAGTTGAGAAATAGGCGCTGGCTGGGGTTTGGACCACAGGCCTTGGTTTTCTGATGGTCTGTTTTGGGTAGTGTCCTTGATAAATTGTCTTTTGTTTCTAGGTTCTGATGCTCATAGATGCCAGCTTTGGGTTTGAAATGGAAACATTTGAGTTTCTGAACATCTGTCAAGTACACGGCTTTCCTAAAATTATGGGCGTTCTCACTCATCTAGATTCCTTCAAGTATAATAAGCAGCTGAAGAAGGCGAAGAAGCGATTGAAACACAGGTTCTGGACAGAAGTCTACCCGGTGGGAAGATAATTGATTATTGAATACTGACCCTGTAATCCTTTAGAAATAGACTCGTGAGTGGGAGATCTTAAGCATCTCTGCAGGACTCGCCTCCTTTATATCTGTTATAGTCCCTGGCTTACTTCCTCAGGATGGTCTTTATTCTGGACAGGCAGCACTCTTAGTGTGCCTCATTTGTCTCTGTCCCCCAGCACCAGGCAGGGTCTGGCTCTAAGTGTCTTGGATTTTCTACTTAAAAGAATGTCCAAAGGTTCTCGTAGTTACGGGACCAAGAACGAGTGCACACATACTGCCCCTCCTCCCTCCCCTCACACTGATGCGGCCATTGGTCCCAGGAGCCTCATTGTACTCCAGGCAGGTGCCACTGCTGACTGCAGAGCAGTCTTGAAAGTAAATGTGTTTGCAGTCTTGTCCTTACGAAGCCCTTACAAGATGGTTCCTCAGAGACCGGGGAGGTTCTGGAAGCATTGGCACCGGGGTTTGCTAGAAGTGTCCCTCTCTTAGCCTTGCTGCTTATTTCGAGGCCTTTATTTTAGTGCAGTTTTGACAAGAATGTAGTTGAAATTTATTTTTCTTCACGTTTAGGGTGCCAAGCTGTTCTACCTTTCTGGAATGGTACATGGAGAATATCAAAACCAAGAAATTCACAATCTGGGCCGTTTCATTACAGTTATGAAGTTTAGGCCTCTGACATGGCAGACATCTCACCCTTATATCCTGGCAGACAGGTAAAAATGAATGTCACTTTTTCTTCCTTGCCCAGATATTTCAAAGCTAAGGAGGTTAGAAAAAGAACAGTAATAAAGCTTATTTTGTGTTTCTTTATGAATAGTGGAGGGAGAAATGTAGTTGAGGGAAAATATCTACTTTTTTTGTATCATAACATAAAAATGCTGTGGCTTTGAGAATAAATGAAATGTTTAGAAAAATGAGAGGATTTTGAAGCATTTAAGGCAACAGAAGGTGGCTCCATCCTGCTTTTCCAACCTTAACTTGGTGCTCCAGTCACACAGGTGTGTCCTGTGTTTTCTTTATGCCTTTTTTTTTTTTTTTTAATTCTCAGCCTAGAGTATCCTTATTTCACCTGCCAGAACCCAACCCACATTAAAAAAAACACATCAAAGCTTAATCCTCTTCCATAAAGGGTTCCTTCTGGGTATGTTGCCTGTCCATCCCTGACCACAGGGACATGCATTTCCCATTTCTGCGGTCCTATGAAATGTATATTTCATAGAGCCTAAGGTGCAATCATGTGTTTGCTTCTTTTCCTCTGGTAGATGGTGAGCTATGCTTCCTTATTTCTGTGTTTTCTATAATTATCTAAAAGTGTTGAGTGAACTAGTGAAGGTGGTGAATTAATAACACATGAAGAGGAGTACACGAACTTTGCCATTCATTTCTGCCATGTGATTGGGTTTTATTTTTCTAGGATGGAAGATTTGACAAACCCAGAAGATATCCGAACAAATGCCAAGTGCGACCGAAAGGTGTCTCTTTATGGTTATTTAAGAGGAGCACATTTGAAAAATAAAAGCCAAATTCACATGCCAGGTATTCTTTATCTTCTGAGGAAAACTTCAAATTGGCCAAACAAGGGAGAGCCGCCTTGCTGGAGGTTTTAAGAGTAACTCAGCTCTGCTTTGGCCGGCAAACACTGAGTCGCCTCGTCTCCTCTGCTCTGTTGTTAGCTGGAGAGACACAGTGCCAGTGTCGAGGATACCCTTGTCGTGGCTGAAGCCTTCCTTCCGACGGGGGCCATTCCTGCTGACGGCAGATTTGTCAGCTGAAGCCATGTCCTGTCTCTCTTCCAGGTGTAGGAGATTTCGCTGTGAGTGACATCAGTTTCCTACCAGACCCCTGTGCCCTTCCTGAACAGCAGAAGAAGCGCTGCTTGAATGAAAAGGAGAAGTTGGTGTATGCGCCTCTCTCTGGAGTTGGCGGGGTGCTGTATGACAAAGATGCTGTCTATGTCGACCTTGGTGGCAGCCACGGCTTCCAGGAACCGGTGAGGACAGTCACAGGCTTAATACAATTGGAGCTTTGTAATCTGTATTCATAGTTATGATAATGCCTGTTGTAAATAGGCAGCATATTTAACCACCCCAAGCAGAAAGTAAAAGCATGTCCCCTTACCTCCCTGCTGCGGGGCGGGATGCCCAGGATCCCACACCTCCCAGCATGAGCTCTGGAGGCAGCGTGGGGCCTGACTGCCACCTCCTTATATAGAATCAGTGTGTTTTCAAGCCCCGACTCTCTCTGGACTTTTGTTTGCTCTTTACACATATAATGTTTATTTAGATTATTATATGTTATCTGTAAATGCTATAATGTATCTGTGTGTATGAGAATAATATTATATGGGATCTAACTATAAATGCTTTTACAAGATTTGGCACTTAGGAATATGTGATTCTGTTGTTCCCTGTTAGTATTTGTAGAGCTATTTCTGTCTGTTGACAGTTGTGTAGTATTTCATTGTATGGAGACCCCTCATTTACTGAAGCAGTCTTCGGAGTGCTGATGGGCTCGCTGCTTGTCCCCTGTTTGAACAGGGATCCAGTGAGTCCTTGTAAATGTAGCTTTGTTCACTGGGAGGGATCTTCCTTTGCAGTAAATTCTTTGAAGTGAAATTTTTCATCAAAGATAGCAATTTTTTTCTTAACGGACTCCAGACTTTTATTTCTTTTACCGTTCTGAAATGGGATTTAATTGGGCTAAAGTGAGTACATTCTGTAGCTTCAACACCTAAAATTTTTCTAGCAAATTATTTAGGTTATCAGGTTATGTACTCCGTGAACTTTGAAAAAGTTTAATGAAGACAGAATTCAATAAGAATTTTCTTTTCTTTTTGAGCCAGGAGGAAGGGTTTTCAGGAGCTGTGTTTAGGGTAATTTTGAGAAACTAATTGAAACCAGTGTGTCTTTATTCACATTTCTCACTTTCCTTTTCTTGGTTGCCTTGGCAGGATGAGGCAAGTCCCACCCATGAACTGGTCCAGAGTCTCATTTCCACCCATTCCACTATTGATGCCAAGATGGCTTCAAGTAGAGTGACACTTTTTTCTGATTCCAAACCACTGGGGTCAGAGGATATAGATAATCAAGGGTAAGTTTGCTATTTTTCTATTTTTAATTTAAAAAATGTTACTACAGAAGATTCTATCACCCATAACTGCTGTCATAACACATTTTGGTGGGATTCATTCCAGGGCGTTTTGTTTTGCTTTGCTTTATATGAGCATATGTTTCTGAGGGCTCTTCCCCTAGGTTACATTACATGACTTTTTTTTTACATGGCATTTCTTAAAACAATATGGAGAATTCTGTTTTTAATAGACCCAGAATATTCCTCAGCTATCACAAAACATTTTTCATAGATTGCTTCTTAGGAGACATGAAGCCACTTAGCTTCCTTTTAGTGGTCAAAATAATGCAGCAAGTAGTCAGAGAGCTTATGCACGTGGCTGTCCAGAATCCACACATTTTGTCTCTGAAAGTGTTACTTACATTGTATTGTAGTATCTCCTGTGGGGTGATTTCCACTAATGTGTGGCTTATACAAATTATTTTCAGTCTGAGTTGGGAATTTGTATACCTTGTACGTAGTTTTAGTTTTATTGTAGTAATTTGTGACTCCCAATACAAATCATTCTGAAGAAGATTGAGATTATCTAGTTTATAGCTTATCTTACCTAATAATAGAGAAACATGTAAATTGACTGTATCTCTGTTACACCCACAGCCAATCAGATTGAGTATGCAAATTAACCCAACAAAGATAGCGGTTAATTTGCATATATATCTGGGTCCCGGGAACCTCCTTGGCACCCAGGTCACTCTCAGCCAGCTATTAGAGGGGTGGAGAGTCCCCTTCCCAAGCCTAAAGCCTTGTATTGAGGCTTAGGTTTGAAAAGGGTCCGAGTCTGAGATCAGAGGGAAGGGAAAAAAATCAATGGAAATATATCCTCAGGTGAGAATAAAAAGAAAAATAAAGAAATATTATATCCCATGAAAGACACATCTTAAAAGTGCCTAAAGAAAGTTATTTTTTCATATGGAGGGACTGGAGTCTGTGGTGATGAAAATACCATGTTGGCTGCCATAACTGGCAGTGGCTGCAGCAGCGGGGTGATGGGCCTGGCGCCTTTCCCTGATCAGCCCAGTCATCAGACAGTGGCTTAGGTCCGCTCCCCATTGGGAGCGGGCCTAAGCCATCAGTAGAACATCCCTTGAGGGCTCCCAGTATGTGAGAGGGGGCAGGCTGGGCTAAGGGACCCCTCCCCAGTGCAAATTTCATGCACTGGGCCCCTAGTCTGTAATTATAAAAGCATAATATGCTAATTAGACTGGATAGCTGAATGACCTTTTAGATGTCATTCCAGATGTCCTTCTGGACCAAGCTGCGATGGTGGGGGTTGAGCAGAAGCGGTTAGGGGCGATCAGGCAGGCAGGCAAGTGGTTAGGAGCCAGCCGTCCTGGATTGGGACAGGGATGTCTGATTGCCAGTTTAGGACTACAGGGATCGGGCCTAAACCAGCAGTTGGACATCCCCCAAGGGTCCCGGATTGAAAGAGGGTGCAGGCTGGGCCTAGGGGCACCAACCAATCCCCCTTCCCATTCCCCCCATGCACAAATTTCGTGCACTGAGCCTCTAGTCTATAATAAAAGCATAATATGCTAATTAGACCAGACAGCCGAATGACCTTTTGGACAAAGCCTGTGTTGCAGGGTTGTGAGGTCTGAGACAAGGCGCTGTAGCTGCAAGGGCCAAGCCCCTTGCATGAATTTTGTGCATCAGGCTCTAATTATAAATACAAATGGAAAAAAAAAATATCATCTGCCTCTTAGCTAGCAGATGGTATAGCTAGCTAAGTTAAGTGCAATAGTTCTTCTATTTGGGAAAAGCATCTCTAAGCCTCAGTTTTATCATCTCATAGGAGTTATGATTATTAAATGCAATACTGTACATAAACTAGCATGATGCAGAAAACAAGTATTAAAGATCCCTTTATGGTCAATGTTAGCCATTTTCATTTTTAAGTATTCTAGTCATCCTTGTCTACTTGGACACTCTAACGTAGTTACAGTCATGATTGTATAAAATTTGTGTGTATATTGTGAGCATTTCTTTTTTCTGTAGTCTTTTTATATAATCATCACTGTTATTGGTATATCTAACTTATACAATTTATCTTAGTACAATTTTTAATATTTTTTTCACAATTTTATATAAGCTACATTAAATAGCTTCATAAGTTTTTATTTTGTGAATTTAGTGGGGTTTTTTAAGATTTTTTTAAATTGATTTTTAGGGAGAGAGGAAGAGAGCGTGAGAGAAAGAGGAAATAAAACATCGATTGGCTGCCTTCTGCACAACCCCGACTGGGGTGCGACCCTACAGCCCCAGCATGTGCCCTGACTGGGAATTGAACTGGCAACCTTCCAGTGCATGGATGACACCCGAGTGAGCCATACCAGCCAGGGCTGGATTTAGCATGTTGATGATGATTCTTTATCAAGTATTGCATTGGTGATTTCAAAATGGCAATATTTTTTCTTTTTCTTTTTTTAAATCTTCATCTGAGATATTTTTTTTATTGAGAGAGGGAGGGAGAGAGTGAAAGACAAAGAGACATTGATGTGCAAAAAGATCTATCAGTTGCCTCCCCATCAGGGATCAAGCCTGCAACCTTTTGGTATATGGGATGATGCCCCAATCAACCAACCCACTCGGCCAGGGCAAAATGGCAATATTCTTAATTTGTTAGCTGACATGCTTTAACAAGGAGCTTTCATTTCTACCCCTTTAAAAAAAAATGGACTTTTTAAAAAAATTTCATTTGTTATTACCCTGTTGTTATCATTATTCTTTCTGTGCCTCTGTTGTCCTTTTCGTCTGTCTCGTGTCCTTTTGGCACATTTCTCTTGCTTTTTGAGCAGTTCCTGGCTGCTGACACACAGGGTGTGCCAGGCCACTTTGTACTTCCCCGCCTGGGACCTGTAGCTAGCCATTTCCTAAGTTCATCCGGTGAAAGCTAGGAGTGCTTGATCTTCTAAAAGATCTATTAAGTACTTGCTTCCATTTTGAACAGTTTTTCCCTAAAATTTGTCTTTTTTTTTTTTTTTAAGGTATTAGGGAACTGTGTATGAGTTTGCTTACTATTATAGTATTTATTAAATCATTCCTTTCTGTGCTATGTCACTTAAAACCGTCCCTTGACAGCATTTTCTGCTTTGTGTATTTATTGACTTGCCATTTCTAGATTAGCAGGTTGTTTTACATGTTGAATTATTTTTGCTTTACTTGTTAATACAGGCTGTGGATGCCAAAAGAGGAAAAGCAGGTGGATTTAAAAACTGGTCGAGTACGTCGAAAAGCCATTTTTGGAGATGAGGAAGATGAGTCTGGGGATAGTGATCCTGAAGACGATGAAGAAATGCCTGAAGGTGACAGGATGGAAAATAGTTCTGGTGATGAAACAGAAGAGGAAGAAGATGCTGAAGTGACCGGTAAAGTGTACATGGCTGACAAAGGTGCCAAACGGCAGAGACTTGAGATGGAAGAAGACAGTGAGATGGACTTGCCAGCATTTGCTGACAGTGATGATGACCTGGAGAGGAGCTCAGGGGATGAAGGAGAAGAAGAGGAAGCTGATGAAAGCAGTGAAGAGGAGGGCTCTGATGCAGAAGAGAGGGATAATTTAGAACCTAAGACTATAGGAAAAGGCAATAAAGCAGGTCTTTTACACAGTAATGGGCTGAGTGACGGTTTGAATCTGGAGAAGACAATGAAAAAAGCAGCCCTCACTACTTCAGATTCTGGTCATTGCACAGCTGAAGAGGCATTTGCCTCTGAAGATGAATCTGAAGGAAGCTCCTCTCTCAGCACAGAGGAAAAGGACTCAGAAAACGAAGCGCTTGTTAGGAAGAAGTTTCCAAAGCCATCTCAAGCGGTCAGTGGTCAGAAACGGGCGTCAGAGAGCTTAATTGATGAGACCAGTGATATAGAAGACTTACTCAAAGAGGAGGAAGAGTACAAGGAAGCAAGCAATTATTCCACAGAAACTTCAGGTATGCCTAAATTTAACTTAACTGCCCCTTTAAACTTGGCACTGACTGTCTTCTATAATAATAGAAGCATAGTATGCTAATCAACCCGGACGACCTCTTGATGCAGCCGGGGACTGTGAGGGAGACCCGGGGCCCAGGTGCGGAGGGAAGCCCGGTCCCGGGTGCCAGAGGGAAGCCAGTGCCGGCAGCCAGGGGAAGGAAGGCCTACTGTTGCATGAATTTCGTGCATTGGGCTTCTAGTTTTACAAATAAAATGTCTATAATATATTTGGGAGTCTGCTGTTTTGGATATTTCTTAACTTCAAATATTATACTTCAAAAAAGGATTTCAGGGTGAATGAGCAGTGAGCTTGAAGTAGAGACAACCCATAAACAGCCTTAATTGATGTTGGCATTGGTCCTTCCAGGTGCCCTCAAATGGAAGGAAGACCTTTCTCGGAAGGCAGCTGAGGCCTTCCTGAGGCAGCAACAAGCAACGCCAAATCTCCAAAAGCTGATTTATGGGACAGGTAAAAGCTCTGGTTCATATTGGAAGCATCGTTGTTCCTTAGACTATTTCTGGAAAGGCAGTGAGGAAATTGGTTGGAGGTTTGAGTGGTACTTGTGATATCTATAAGGTATTTCTTGCTGTCATAGTTTGCATTTGTCAGATGTTTTTAATCTTCAGTTTATGAGTACCATAAATTGGTCCTATGAAATAGTTTTCTTGGTTTGCCATAAAACTTTTGATGAGAATAGTCTTCATTGTGTCATTCTGTCTCTATACAAAGTCTTCTATGAGAATTTCTTATTTGGTAGAATATAGTACCAAGAAAACATAAAGTGCTGAACTTTACATTGTGGTCCCTAGTTACTACGTGATTAGAACAAGGCCAAAGTGTATATGTGAGCTAGGAGCATCGAATCAGGAGGTGGCTGTGGACTGGCTTCCAAGTCAACTTTCGCTTAAGTTCTTTTAGTGACTAGGGACTCAGCATTCCTCCAGATAAACTGTGATAACTGGACGTTCGGCCTGTAAATCCCTTCCTTGCTCCAACCCCCATTACTCTCCCTCCTCAATGGACTCTCTGCTGCTGCCTGCAGGAAGATAGAAGTCTTCCAGGCACGATAAGCAGCAGTTCCCTGGCTTCTCTCTGACTCATGGGCTTAGGGGCGCCACCGTTCCTGCCACAAACAGGGACCCTCAGTCCCAAGTCCTCTTGCGTGCTGACTTGTTCTCCCTTTTCCATCTTGGTGGTCTCATTAGTGACAGAGGATAATGAAGAAGAAGATGAGGCCGGGGAGGAGCTTGGAGGGTTGTTTCGTGTCAGCCAGCCTGCCCGAGAGTGTAAGTACAAGGCTGACTCTTTGGACTGCTCCCGATTTCACTTGGAGGTGCCCCATGATTGGGATTTAGAGGAGGTAAGACTGAATGTGAATAATACGTAGAAAATGTGAATAATAATTTATGAGAAATTGTTCTAAAAGAAGATCATGTAATTTTAATGTTGCCTATCTGTTACTTTATAAAATAACAAGATATTTTCCCAGATGTTGGAGTGTATTTCATGCATCCTAAACAGTAAAATGTTCTGAGTTTGATTAGAGTCTAACTTTTAGACCATGTGCCTGTATATGCTCAGCTTTTAGTATGGATAGTATTTGAAGCATTGCACATAAATTTTATACATTTAAAATATTTTGTTTTATAATTTGAATGCACTAGTATCCCTCAGCAATTGCAATTTCTGCTGTTTACAAACATATAAATGTATTACGCTGTTGGTAAATTTTCTTTCTTATTCACCACTCTCTGATTACACTGGAATTCATTCAGTTCTCAGACTTGCTAGGCTTACTCCCCTGTTTTCTCTTCTGGAATGTTCTTCCCAAGCTGGCTTCTTTTGATCATATAATATCACTCCTCAGAGTGATATTAATTATCCAGTCATTTATTATCCAGTCATTTATTATCACATTGGCTATTGTAATTTACTGAATAGCATTTATGTACTTGATGAAGTGTGTTAACCATAACCATTTTTTATGGTAAAATTTAATACAGGTTTTAGAAGCCCACATAAAATAGTTGTTAACTTAATGAATGGGTACCAGGTAAGGACTCTTGTGACCACCATGTGCCCATCCTAGCCATGGTCCTTCCCTCCCTTGCAGAAGGAACATGACTCTGTGGTAATCACCTCCTTCATTTCGTCCTCCAAGTTTGCATCATAAACACCATAGTTTACTTTTACCAGGTTTTTGGGGGGTTGTTTTTCACTGTGCCTTTTTAAAAAAAAAAAATCTTTATTGTTAAAAGTATTACATATATCCCCTTTATTCCCCCATTGACCCCGACTAGCTACTCTCTGTGCTTTTTAAAACTTAAAATATACATTCCTTTTCTCCACCTATCTTTCCCTCGTCTTCCATTTAATTTGTTTAAGAAACCAAATGTGTAGTTTTAAGAAACTACACATTTGGTGTGTAGTTTCTCATATTATGGACTTTATGAATTCCATTGTAACCCTGTGTGCAGTTTATCTGGCTCCTCTGTCCTCTGTGTTTCCTATAGAGTGGTACAGAGAAATAGCAATAGAACTCTGTGATGATGGAAATAAGTTATATATGAACTGTCCAGTGTGGTTATTGAGCACTTTATATGTCTAGTGGGACAGAAAAACTAAATTTTCAGTTTTATTTAATTTGTGTACTTGATGTGAGATGAATATGACTTATTCTTTTGCATATGGAAATCAATTGTCCTAATATTATTTGTTAAAAAGACTGTTTCTTTCCCATTGCCTTGTTTTGGCACCCTCGGCAAAATAAATCACTTGACCATAGATATGTGGGCTTATATATGGGCTCTTAATTGTATTTCATTGATCTATGTCATTCCTTGTGCCAGCACAATCCTGTTTTGATTACCGTCCTTTCATAGTTAAGTTTTGAAACTGAAAAGTGTGAATCTTCCCAGCTTTGTTTTCTTTTTAAGTTGTTTGATCTATTCTGGATCTCTTGGGTTTTCTGTATTTTAAGATCAGCTTTTCCATTTCTACAAAAAACCAGCTGGGATTCTGACAGGGATTGCACTGAATCTATACTTTAGAAAGTGTTTCTATCTTAGCAATATTAAGTTTTCTGATCCATTAACATGGGATGTCTCTCCATTTATTTGGATCTTAAATATCTTGCAAGAATGTTTTGTAGTTATCAGAGTATAAGCTTTGCACTTTTATTGAATGTATACGCACCATTTTATTCTTTTTGATGCTATTATAAAAGGAACTGTTTTCTTATCATTTTTGGATATTTTATTCTAATATAGAAAAAAGTAATTTATTGTTCTATATTAATCTAGTATTTTACAACTTTGATTAGTTCTGATAGTTTTTCAGTGGATTCCTTAGGATTTTTTGTAAACCAGATTATATCACCTGTGAATAGAGACAGTTTTCCTTTCTAAACTGGATGCCTTTTATGTCAGTTTATTGCTTAATTGCTGTGGCTAGCACGCCTAGTACAGTGTTGAATAGAAGTGAGAGCAGATTGACTTTCCTATTCCTGATTTTATTCCTGATGATGAAAGCTCTGAGTCTTTCATCATTAAATATGATGCTAGTGGTGAGTTTTTCATGGATGTCCTTTATTGTTTTGAACATTTGAACATTTCCTTCTGTTCCTAGTCAGTTGTGTGTTTTTCATGGAGGTTCTAATTTTTTTTTTTTTTTAATTTGTTTGGTCTGTTGTTCCTCTAAGTCAATTATTAAGCTTAATGAAATAAGGATCATCTGGAACAACTTGCCTACAGAACTTGTTGGCATAAAATAGATGTGTTCGTAAATGTTTAGTGAGTGAGTGTAGGCATGAAGGAATGAGTAAATGAATAGACTTGCTTTTGCATGCATTGTAATCATGCTAGCCTCAAGGCTACTTTTTGAGAATTAGGTTGTGTATGAAAAACATGACTCATAACCAAAAATAATGATTCAGTTGAAAGCCAAACAACCACAATAAGTCTGGAGTAGCAAATAGTAATTTAAAAATGCTGTTTAATTGCATTGCCTTAAGAACACTATTAAACTTTGAAAATCTGTTGAATTAGTAAATGTCTGTTTGTTTATTAGGTCAGTGGGTAATAGGCCTTTTCCTACCTAATAAGTGCTGATGTTTCTGTGAAGGTTATGGACAGTATCAGAGATTGCTTTGTGACTGGGAAGTGGGAAGAGGATAAAGATGCTGCCAAGATCTTAGCAGAAGATGGTAAGTAAAGGGATGTATCCTTTTTTTTTAATTAAAAATTTTTGTTTATTTTTTAAAATATTTTTTATTGGCCGGGACCGGTTTGGCTCAGTGAATAGAGCGTCGGCCTGCGGACTGAAAGGTCCCGGGTTTGATTCCAGTCAAGGGCATGTACCTTGGTTGCGGGCACATCCCCAGTGGGAGGTGTGCAAGAGGCAGCTGGTCGATGTTTCTCTCTCATCGACGTTTCTAATTCTCTGTCCCTCTCAATTCCTCTCTGTGTAAAATCAATAAAATATATTTTTAAAAATATATTTTTTTTATTGATTTGAGAGAAAGAGAGAGCGCAAAACATCAATGATAAGAGAATCATTGATTAGGAATTGAGCCTGCAACCCAGGCATACTTTCTGATGAGGAATCGAATCGTGACCTCTTGGTTCAAGGTCTCAACCACTGAGACACACTGGCTGGGCTCTTTTCTGTTAATTGTATTTTTTGGTTCTATAATTTCCATTTGTTTCTCCAGTTTTTCCCCCTGAGGTTTTCAATTGTTTGTACTCAGTTATTATTTCTGTAGCTGGTTCTTTATACACTACAGGCCTGGGGCACAAAATTCATGCAAGAGTAGGCCTTCCTTTCCCTGGCTGCCAGCCTGGCTTCCCTCTGGCACCCAGGACCCGGGCTTCCCTTGTAGCTGTAACTTCATCCAGAAGGATGTCTGGTCTAATTAGCATATTAAATTTTTATTATTATAGATAGCTGAGAAGAAAAAAGAAACATGTATACTCATTTTTTTCCAGCCTAGAAATTCTTGGTGGCTATTTGTATTGTAATTGTGTTGAAGGGAGAATTGGCATTTTAATGATACTGAATCTTCCTTTCCAAAAACATGTACTCTTTATTTGTTCAGTAGATAATATCAATAATACCTTCTTCACTGGGTCAAGTTAAAAAAACCTAGTTAAGATTGTAAAGTACTTAGAGCAGTGTCTGGAATGTAAAACACCTGAAAGTGTTAGCTAATGTTATTCCTTGTGCCCTTTGGTAACATAGTAAAGCCTTTATAATAGATAAAGATCTTGTACATTTTTTATTTCTAAATGTCCTATTTTTTGTTTTTATTACAATAGAATCTTCCCATCTCTTATATTTTCTTTGGCTCTTTGGTTCTTTGGCTCTTTCTTATGTGAAAACTAGAGTCCCAGTGCACAGAAATTTGTACACTGAAGGGCGGGGTCCTCAGCCTGGCCTGAGCCCTCTCACCGTCCCGGACCCCTCAGGGGATGTCCACCTGCCAGCTTAGGCCCATTCCTTCAGGGAGCGGGTCTAAGCCGCAGTCAGACATCCTTAGCACTGCAGAGGAGGCAGGAGACGCTCCTGCTACCACCATTGCGCTTGCAGCCAGCTGAGCGGAGCACACTGACCACCAGGGGGCAGCTCCTGCATTCAGCATCTGCCCCTTGGTGGTCAGTGGGCATCATAGTGGATCATTCCCAGTCGTTCTTCTCTTAGGGTCAGTTTGCATATTACACTTTTATTATATACGATGTTTTAATTATTTTCTTTCTTTTTTTTTTAAACATATTTTATTGATTTTGTACATAGAGGAAGGGAGAGAGAGAGTTAGAAACATCGATGAGAGAGAGTCATCAATCAGCTGCCTCTTGCACACCCCCTACTGGGGATATGCCCACAATCAAGATACATGCCCTTGACCGGAATCGAACCCGGGACCTTTCAGTCCCCAAGCCGATGCTCTTTCCATTGAGCCAAACCGGTTTTGGCTGTAGGATGTTTTAATATCCTTCTGAAGTTGCCTCCCAGAGGACTTTTAACTTGTCTATTTCTTTTAAGGATAATATTCATGATTAAACGAATGAATGAATGAATGAATGAATGGGCTCTTCGTGTGGGCTCAGCACTGTTTTAGGTACTACTCTTATAATCTAAGATTTTTCCCTTGGTTTGTCATCCTTGTGTTGAACTATTGGTGAGATTCTTTCTCACATGTGCTTGTTATCTAAGCCATGGCTTTTCAAGTCACTTGAATTTTTTTATTTTTGAGGGTCTCATCTGCAGGGCCACTCATGCCGCCTGTGTACATCTCTGCTACAGTGCCAATTACCTCTACTGGAAAAATAGCTCTTGGTTGTGTGGGGTATTGAAGGAAAGTATGGAAATGTGGATTGGGCTTGTTTACTTAAACTGAACATGTGATGTAATAAGGTTTAACGGTCCTGCCTTCTTCTGGAGTGCGTAGTGATAGGAATAGTAACAGTAAAGTTTGGGTGCAGAACACACTGTCCACCTGGGGCTGGTAGTGCTAGAGTGTCATGTGCACCCTCTTCAGAGGTGAGTCATGTGGATGTTCTTTTCCCAGAGGAGCTGTATGGTGACTTTGAAGACTTGGAAACAGGGGACGTGCACAAGGGAGCATCAGGCCTGGACACTCAGGTATGACTTTGCCAGGCCGCTGTCAGCCACTGGTCCTGTAACTGGGGTCAGTATATTCTGAGATAGGCCTATTTGAGACATTCTAATCTTGTTGTCCGTGTAGATTAGAGACCGGATGGATTCCTTCCTGAAAACATGGAGGGTGGGGGCTGATCAAAGGTTATTGGTTTACTTCTTATTCTTTCTTTTTCTGTATATGAAATGTCTTTATTGATTTTCAGAGAAAAGAAGGGAGAGGGAGAGAGAGAGAGAGAAATATTAATAGTGAGCCTTAACTTTGCTCAATGGTTAGAGCATCGCCCTTGGACTGAAGGGTCCCTGGTTTGATTCTGGTCAAGGGCGCATAGTTTGGTTGTAGGCCAGATCCCGGGCCCAGATTGGGTGGCCTTTAGGAGGCAACCAATCAATGTGTCTTTCTCACATCAATGTTTCTCTCTCTGTGTCTCCTCCCCCTCCCTCCCAATCTCTAAAAATCAATGGAAAAATACCCTCTGGTATGTTGAGGAATAACAACAACATAAAAGAAACATCAGTGATGGGAGAGAATAAAAAATCAGCGGTCTCCTGCATGCCCCCTACTGGGGATCGAGCCTACAACCTGGCTGTATGCCCTGACCAGGAACTGAACCTTGACCTGGTTCAAGGGTTGATGCCCAACCACTGAGCCACACTGAGACTGGGCTACTTGTTATTCTTGATTTTTGGAGTGACACCTATTACCTCTTCTTGATGTTATGATTGTTCAGTCATTGAAAGTTTCAGCTCTTAGGTCTTTGTCTTCCTCTCCACCATTATTTTTGCCATCATTCTCCTGTTCTTAAATCACATATGGAATCTAATGGACAAAATAAACAATAGAAACAGACTCATAGATAAAGAATACACTGATGGCTGTCAAAGGGGAGGAGATTCGGGGGCTGGGTGAAAAAGGTGAAGGGATTAAAAAAAAAGCAAACCTCATGGACACAGACAATGATATGGTATTTACCAATGGTATGGTATTTATCAGCCCTCCTGTTGAGCAGGTGGGGGTAGGTAGAAGAAGGTATAGGGGAGATAAATGGTGATCGAGAGTTGACTTGGGATGGTGAACACATAATACAGTATACTAAATTTATACAGAATTTGTATTATAGAAGTGTACACTTAGAACTTACATAATTTCATTAATCAATGTCACTCCAATGAATTCAATAGAAAGAGAAAAAAAAAAAGAAAATATTCATTTCTAAGCCTCCAAAAAAAGGCCATTTAGAAAAACCAATTCTCTGTTCTCCCTAAGATTTTTTTATAACAGTATCGGGTGGGGACACTTGCTGCTATTTTATTCACATATGGCATTCCCAGACAGACTAAGGAATTGCAGTTCATTGTAATGCAGATCTAAATGTCTCTTATAGCAATACATGTTATTTAGAGCTCAAGGCTGTGTTTTGTTTCATGATGATCATAACCTAGATTTTGGCAAATCAGAATTTTTTAAGTCTGCTTTAAAGCTAAAGAAAATATTTTCACAAACTTAAAAAATTTTCTTTCTGGAAATTTAAGACTGAAGATGTAGAGGAAGAAATTAAGGAAGAAATTGACTCCTCTGCAGAGGAAAGTGCCAAGAAAAAGCATTTGGATAAGAAGAGAAAATTGAAGGAGATGTTTGATGCAGAGTATGATGAAGGAGAAAGCACATACTTTGATGATCTTAAAGGAGAAATGCATAGACAAGCACAGGTAAGAAAACTCAGACCCTATCAGCCTCATTCCAGGGCTGTAATACAGTGTTGTGAATCCTTAACTCCTTTAGTTCTCTGCTCCCTGATCTACCTCTGTGCCTTCTCGTTTGGACTCCAAGATTGAGGTGAAGATGAGTGTGTGCATTCGTGTTTATTTATGCAGTCCTCTGTTTCTGCAAGAAGTCAGAAGATACCAGTTCCTATTTTGTTCCAAGTGTGAGGAAACAGAAATGGCTGAGACACTTGCCGCCACTTTTGGGGCTCTCACTGTGTAGTTATTTGAGGCAATGTGTTTATTTAAATGCCAGCAGTGCCTTAGCATTCATATTACTGCTCCCTAGAACCATAACGAAATCATTTGAATGGGCAGGTGATTCTTGGCCTGTGTGGCGGATGCACACACCAGTGTCTTCAGGAAGGGTTGCCTGAAACTCACCGCAGTCAGAGTTCAGGAGTATTAATATTTTGAGTTAAGGTCAGACATGGAGACAAAGAGGGCATGTGGGATGCTGAAAGGGAGATAGTCTAGCCCTCCTGCCTGGAATGCTGATTTCACTCTGAAAGACACAAAGATGTGTGCGCAGTTGATGGCGAGGGCTTTGACAAGTGGGCACAGGAATCTGTCTAAACTGGAACACACTGTGCCTTATGCCAGTTAGTATATCATTTGTGAAAATGTGATCAACCTAGACCTTCATCTAGTCAAAAGGACCTGCTGGTTCATCATTAACATAGTGTCTCCAGTCTACTGACCTTATACAGACCGTGACTAAGAAATATAAAGTTGGTTCTGAAGGCTTTGCTTCAGGCATTTACAGTCTAACTCACCTAGAACCTCATGGGCCATTGTAAAGGTCTTGACTGAGTTACTCAGTGAAATGGGTCCCATTTGAGCAGAGGATACATGTGTGTGACCAGAGGGTTGCTCTGGCAAGAGTTTGTTAAGATTAACTCACACTGGGGGATGGGGAGGTGTGCGGTGGTGGAGGTGAAAGAAAATCAAATTCTGAGTATAGTTTGTTTGAAAGTAGACCAATATGATTTCCTGTATGTGAAATTCGGGGGTGGGGAGGAAATAAGGATGACTTACTGGAAGAACTGAGTTTTCATAAGTAAGATAGAAAAAGCTTTAGTTGGTATAGGTTTGTCTGGGGAGATGAAGTAAAGATGTTAGGTTTGGGTTATCTTTCAGACAAGGAAAGTGTCAAGCTGAGAGGGGTTGGGACCAGGGACTTAGAGCTGGATGCTGCTTACAGCCATGAGATGGATGGGATGACGAGGGAGTGAGAGTAGAGAGAAGAGAGGACCAGTACTGACACTGGGGGTCCCATTGTAAGGCTGGCAGAGGAAGAGCAGCAGTGGGGATGGAGCCGTGCTCAGGAGACCTAAGAAATCTAGGGGAATAAGGCATGATGGAAGCTACTGCAGAAGGAAATGAGACATTATTTCAAATCTTGCTGATGTGTTAACTGTGATTAAGACAAAATTAACCACTAGATTAGGAATGTTGAGGCCTTTATATGACTGCAAACATTTTTATCGAGTGTGGGTTAAAGTCCGGTTTTAGGGAATTTAAGGGAATGGGAGAGGAGGAAGTGGAGACTGCAACTATAGAAAACTTCTGTGCCAGTTTTCTTCGAAAGAAGCAGAAAAATGGGATTCTAATTTGTGGAGTCAAAGGGAAATTTTAAGATGAGAGAAATAATAGGTAAGATATTGGAATGAAGTCCAGGAGTGGGTGATTCCTAGTGTATAAGTGAAATTGAACAGATTAGTATCTATATATAGATAATCACCCAATCGTGCCAACCTCCTGGTCCACTCCCCCAGGCCAGCAGGCCACCTCCCAGGCCGCCCTGCACCCCCACAGGTCCTGATCACCTGTTTGGGGCCAAGCCCCAGGCTGGGACAGGGAACTGGGGGTGGGTGGCAATGGACATGGGTGGCGAGAGAAAGAGGAGGCAGGGAACCTGATCCACCCTGATCACTTACCTAGGAACCCACCTGTGCACAAATTTCATGTACTGGGCCTCTACTATAATCTATAACCACCCAGTAGAACTCTGTGTTGTACTGTATTGTGGCCACTAGCCACATATTGATACTGGCCACTTGAAATGTAACCAAGGAACTGAATTTAAATTTTTTTATTTAATTTCAATAATTTCAATTTGAAAAGCCATCTGTGGCTACCATATTGAACAGTGTAGACCTATAATGAAAGGTTAGACATGGGTATAAACCCTGGTAGAGGTTGAGTGTTGAAGTTCTTGTAGATGCTTAACTTTTGAGTGAATTAGGAAACAGCAGCTAAGAATGAGGGTGAGCGATTGGATATTGGGCGACTGAAGAAAGGAGAAAAAGTGTGAACTAATTATTTGGAGAATAAAAGAGAAAGTGTGTACTGGGAACATTGAGGGTGTTTGCTGATCACCATTACGGCTCCTTTCTGAGTTGCTGACATTTGCTATAAGTTAGAACAACAGAGAAGAAAATTATTGGGACATATCCTGAACAAACTGAAGATAGACTATATGCTATTTTTAACTAGGATAAAGTCTAAATCTGTTTATAGACTGTTTATTTTGAAATAGCTCATTTTTTATATTAATTACATTTATCGAAGATGATAGTATTGTGGGTTTCTTACTGTGTTGTACCCCCCTCTCTTATACAGCTTAACCGAGCAGAATTTGAAGACCAAGATGATGAAGCCAGAGTTCAATATGAGGGTTTTCGACCTGGGATGTATATCCGAATTGAGATAGAGAATGTCCCCTGTGAATTCGTGCTTAACTTTGACCCCCATTACCCAATTATTTTGGGTGGTTTGGGCAATAGTGAGGGCAGTGTTGGATATGTACAGGTAGGTACCCTTTGTGTGTGATATGATCGTGAGGTTTTTTGGGACATACTTTCACTGAATAATCTTACTGAAATTTCTTCTCCCCTCAGATGCGTCTGAAGAAACATCGTTGGTATAAGAAAATTCTCAAGTCCCGAGACCCAATCATTTTTTCTGTGGGGTGGCGGAGGTTTCAGACCATCCCACTGTATTATATCGAAGACCACAATGGAAGACAAAGGCTTCTAAAATACACCCCTCAGCACATGCATTGTGGAGCAGCCTTTTGGGGTAAAATGTGATTAGAATAATTGACCTTTAGGTTAATTTAAACGTGTAAGCTTTATCATTATAGTTTTCATTTTATGAAATCCCAATTCTCTTCCTTTTGGATCAGAATATATATGCATGTAAAATAGATTCTAAATTTTGTGGTTCACTATATATTTTTTACTGTTTTATTCAAGGTCCTATTACTCCACAAGGAACTGGATTCTTGGCAGTACAGTTTGTCGATGGCACAACAGTAAATATCTTGGATGTTTTATTTTATATATAGTGTTTGAGATCTATCTTAAATATGTAATGTGTACATGATACTTTAAGTGGAAAATTGCTCATTTTTAGTGTGTATAATAAATTTGTTTGTTTTTAATCTTCCTGCATCTTTTTAAGTAGATTGTGGGAGTAAAGAAGAGGGAGGTAGAAGAATTGTAATGGTACTAAGGACATTTTATATTTTTATGCACTTTTTGGGCGTGTTTTTCTAAAAATATGTAAGCAGTATTCACCATGTGCTAAGTACTATACTAGGTTTTGGGGATATGTCAGATACTAGCTAAACATAAGGCTACACCCTGTAATGTTGGGTTAGAAAAATATGTTCACCCCAATTCCATGTGATCGATCAAAGTGGGGTTTATTGGCCCCATTTATCAGAAAAGAAAACAGAATAGTGAACAGATGGAATGCACCCTGAGGTCTGAAATTTAATTTCTTAAACATTATAACCAAACTTCCATGTTCCTTTTTATCTCAGATAAGTCTTTGTTGTGAAACTCTGTCACTAAGAAATCACCCTCATTCAGGAAAATACTGAAGACATCAACATTAGTTTACCTTATGTTCATTATAGTTTCAATACTGTTTTGTTAAAATACTGTTTTACATGTTCAGATACTCTTTTTTTCTTAACTCATTGTAAGGGAAGTGCACTTTGCTAATTTACTGTATCACAGAGAATTGTAGTTGTTCTCTTGCTGATATTATTCCTGTATTCTAATTTTGGGGGTTTCATTTTTAGCCTGATTTCCGGATAGCTGCCACAGGAATTGTTCTTGATTTGGATAAATCCATAAAAATTGTGAAGAAATTAAAGTTAACTGGTTTTCCATATAAAATTTTCAAGAATACTTCATTCATTAAGGTCTGTATATTTACATATTTATAAATGTATATTATAGGGATGGGCAAAAGTAGGTTTACAGTTGTGAATGTACAGTTTATTTTTGTATTATTATATTATTTATTTGTATTATAACTAAATCTACTTTTGCCTTTTCGTATTATTAAAGGATCAGTGAAATACTTCTAAAATGTAGGTCTAATGTTTTCAGAAAAGGAATTTAAATTAACTTGTCTTTGGTATTTTTAGTGTACTTTTTTCTGTTGGTTTCTGTGTTGCTTAAACATGCTCAGCAATGTTAAGGTGAAGTACAATAGAGATATTTAGTAATTGAAGCTATTGCTTCCAGTGAGACTGTCATAAAGCTAATATGTGTAATATATATGCATGTAAAATAGATTCTAAATTTTGTGGTTCACTATATTAATCTTTTACTGTTTTATTCAAGGTCCTATTACTCCACAAGGAACTGTGGAGTCATAAAACTAATATGTGTAATCTTTCTTTGGGCTTTCTTTCCTGCCTTTTTGGTTTGTGTTAAAATTAAAATCATAGACTTATCAGACAGATCAGTGGAAAAATAGACAAAGCCATTCTTAATTTGTCGACAAGGGTTTAAGAGATGGACACTCACGTGATATAACATTGAAGGGTGGTTTGAATGACATTCAAATTTTCATTGAGAGGGTGCTTCCACTAACAGAGCTAAGATGATTACAAAATGTTCTTATAATATAGCACTTTTCTAGCTCTTTATTTGCCGAGTGTGTGCACCTAAGTAAGTAATAGGAAATGAGCTAGACAACAGAGGCTGTCCAGGCTAGTTCAGACTAACAAGATATCTTCTATTCCTTATCAGTGATGAGCATGATAATGAATGAGCCCACAATAGTGTCTTAATTAATATTATTTGGCGGTTATTATTAAAAGTTGTATTCTTTTTAATCTAGTAATTCCACTTCAGGAGGGAAATAGTTTGATTATTACCTTTATCATCCTTCAATGAGTTCTATGTTTTATAACCAAGGATGTAGTTATGAACTAAGAAGTAAAATATCTGATTTTGTGTGTATGTATTTTTTATATATGTGTACCTGTAGGGAATGTTTAATTCTGCCTTAGAAGTGGCCAAATTTGAAGGTGCTGTGATTCGCACTGTCAGTGGAATAAGGGGGCAGATCAAGAAAGCGCTCCGAGCTCCTGAAGGCGCTTTCCGGGCCACCTTTGAGGACAAGTTGCTGATGAGCGGTAAATGCCTTTCTATTGATTTCCGTCTCGTGTGGGTTAGATGCTGCAGTTCAGGTCTTAGAAAGCTGGGATCAGCTCCAGCTCTCCTAGTTGGAGCATCTTTGCAGCGTGCCCAGTCACGCTGTATCTGGAGCCATGTGGTTCACACCGGTAAAAGTTCTGTGATAGTCAAGATTAATTCACTTGGTAAAAATCTGTCTTCAAATTCTTGCAACCAGCGTGAGAAGTTTGGGATGAATGTTTTGTTCTTTGTTTCTCATAAGGATATGAACCTTCTTCTGAAAATGTTAAAGTAAATGTCCTCTCTTTCCAGATATTGTCTTCATGAGAACTTGGTATCCTGTCTCCATTCCAGCCTTCTATAATCCAGTAACATCTTTGTTGAAACCAGTTGGTGAGAAAGATACCTGGTCAGGAATGCGGACAACTGGTCAACTCCGGCTCGCCCATCGTGTCAAACTGAAGGCCAACAAGGATTCTCTGTATAAGGTACCGTCATACATGTGCTCTGTAGATGGGTTGTCCAGATGCTTTGTATGTAACATTTCCTGTGCTTTAAATTTTCAAGTAGTGAGTCTAACATTAAATTTGAATGAATGTGCTGTATGTTCATAGACTACTGTAGAAGAACTGCACAGCGGTAATAATTGCTTCTGTGATTTGGAAAATAGACTTAAAACTTTTCATTGTCTATTCTTTTGGACTGTTCTTCCACCATATACACTATTACTTCTAAAAATAATGTGCTAATTCTTATTGAAGCAATATGGGTTTAGGGGAAAGTTTTTATTGAGATATTCACATACATACAGAAAAGTACCCAAATCAGAAGTGTATAACTCAGTGATTTAACACACTCAGCTTGCCATCACCTGGGTGAAGCAATAAATTACCAGCACAACTGAAACCTTCCATGACCTCTCCCAGTCACTCTTCCTCTGCTCAGAGCACTCACAGTCTGATTCTGACCCCCACATGTACATTAGGTCTGCCTGCTTTTAGTTTTATAAAATAGAGTAAATATTTGGCCTGGCTTCTTCCGGAAGAATAATAAAATTCACCCATGTTCTTGTGTATAGCAGACATTCATTTGTCATTATTATCTAGGAGAATTCTGTCATATGACGATGTCAGTTTATTTACTGATGGACTTTAATTCCACTATTTGGCCATTATAACTGCTGTTCTGAGGACATATGTACGACTTGCTTGGTGTGTACAAGCACCCATTTTTGTTGCCGAGGTCCCCATGGGTGGGGCCACCAGATTATGGTGCAGCATGTGTTCTGCTTCAGCGTATGATGCCTATAGTATTGGAGTCAGACCCAGTGCGGCTCCGGCTAACAGCTGCCAGAGTTCTGGTTGGTCCATATCCTCGCCAGTCTGGCTTCGTCAGTACTTCAAGTTCTTATACCTGCCTGGATTCTCATTTTCATTTAGATTTTGGTCTCAAAACGTTCATTATTTTCTTGCAGGTTAACAATACATTTGAAAGAGTTGTTTTAATGCAGGATATTTAATTGTTTTGTAATAAGATTGTAGTTCAAGGTATCAGTCTGCTCTCTGCCTGAGACAGAAGGTTCCCGGACATTATTCTTTCTTTCTTTTTAAAAATTTTAAAATAATGTTTTTATTGATTTCAAAGAAAAGGAGGGAGAAGATTTTGATGAGAAAGAATCACTGATTGGCTGCCTCCTGCAGGTTCTCAACTGGGGATCAAGCCTGCAACCGGGCATCTGCCGTGACCTCCTGGTTCATAGGCTGACACTCAACTATCTGAGCCACGCCGGCCATGCTTGGTCATCACTTTTTCTATAAAATAGCTCATAAGATTTTGAACCGTATGACATTCATGTCTTTTAGAATATGGTGCACTTCAGCTCCTGGCATCTCTTGTCCAGTCTGTGGTGCTTACTCTTTTTGAGAAGGTGATTTCTCTTATTTCTTTCATTCTAAAGTATTTTAGTTTCTTAAAACAGAATATTGAATATTATTATAGATGATATTTTTAATAATAAATTTAAGGACATAGCAGAAATACTGTTTATATAGTTGATGTTGACCTTGGTAAAGATGTAGGGCAACTGAGGGCATTCCTGCCAGCCAGGCGCTGGCCCTTTCTCTATACATGAAATGTTTTTTCTTTCTCTCTCTTAAGATCTGGTCTCTTATCTGGTTTGGCTCAGTGGATAGAGGATCAGCCTGCAGACTGAAGGATTCTAGGTTCTATTCCAACCAAGGGCACATGCCTGGATTGTGGGCTCGATCCCCAGTGGGGGGCATACAGGAGGCAACCGATCAATTATTCTCTCCCATCATTGATGTTCCTATCTCTTTCTCCCTCTCCCTTCCTTTCTGAAATCAATAAATATGTGTGTGTGTGTGTGTATTTTTTTTAAAGATATAGGGCAAAACTCTCTACTTACCAACTAGTTCTGAGACAGTTAACAAATTTAGTCATCTGAATTTAAGCATAGAATTGTGATTACTTTAAAATTTGAATGTAGAGCTTACACTGCCTTCATTTGTTGTTTAAATCTCAGTTTTGTAGCTGGCCTTCCATTAGAAACAGAACAAAGTTCAACCTCTCAGTGAGAATCAGGTGGGGACACTGGCTCTGAGGAAGAACTATGTCCTGAGGCCCAGAGAGGCTCATAGTAAAGATGAACAGCGAGATTATTCTTGTTCGGCTAGAAAAACCACCTCAGTGCTTCCCAGATAAGGCCAGAATTTTCCATTTGAGGAGACTTTGAATCTTCTTAACTGCTCTGTGAAGATTCCCATCGTCCATATTATAGAAGTAGGCACATTTCAATTCTTGGAAGAATTGCAAATATTCTGTATATTTCTCTGTCTTGCCTAGAGTTATGCATGCCTTTCGAGGCAGTCCGTGTTTGATGTATGATTGAATCCTTATTTCTGATTGTCAGCAGATTCTGGTGTTACCAATCTTGTGGAAAAATTTAACAATCCATCGAGAAGATTTTATGCAAGTTTTAAATGCATGTAGATCATAATTTATATCAGCCTTTGTTTTTTTGTTTGTTTTTCAGCCAATTGTGAGGCAAAAGAAACATTTTAATTCACTGCACATTCCGAAAGCCTTACAGAAGGCCCTGCCCTTTAAGACCAAGCCTAAGACCCAAGCAAAGGCAGGCAAGATACCCAAGGACAGGCGGAGACCGGCCGTCATCCGGGAGCCTCATGAAAGAAAGGTACTGTTAACGACTGGCTTACTGCCCGTGGTACTTAGATGTGAAAATACTGCTTTTGGTTACACACTTGGCATTTCCACTGTGTTCTCACTTTTCCTCAGGAAGAATAAGGGCCCTAAGAACTGGAAGTTAGAGGAAAACTAGAGTCCATTTCCCCTCCTCTGTTCAGCCCGCTCTGTCTCATGCATTTTGGTGGGAAGAGTTGGCACACAGCTGACGAATCACTCTGTTAATTAGTTGTACATAGTATCCAAGAGTGACTAATGAAAGGTAGTCACTTGTGGTGAAGGTCATTATTAAAGTATTTTGCTAAGTAAATAGACTCCTACATATATTTTCATGCAAATTATAATTTCCTAGTCCAGAATAAATTTCACTAGCTTAGCGTTCATTTGTATTATGAGTGGATCCCAGTTTTGTAGTCAGTGCTGATACCTGTGGCCCTCAGAAGGCAGGCACACAGTAAGTGTGAGAATACACAATGCTCATTGGGCTTTGTCCTTGTCAGGTCCTTGCGCTGCTGGATGCTCTGAGTACAGTGCACAGTCAGAAGATGAAGAAGGCCAAGGAGCAGCGGCATCTGCACAATAAAGAACACTTCAAAGCAAAGCAGAAGGAGGAGGAAGAGAAACTGAAGCGGCAGAAGGACCTCAGGAAGAAGCTCTTTCGAATTCAGGGTCAGAAAGAAAAAAGAAATCAGAAGTCCAGCCTGAAGGGGCCTAAGGAGCAGCTGAAATGAGCTCCAGACTGTCATTGGGTCTGCAGGGACGGGTGGTTTCACATGCTGTAGCGCTTGTCAGTGACAGGTGGGGCACTGGAGCCCAAGAAAGACCCCTTTGCTGGATTCATCTGTGCCTTTGAGAAGAGAAATGGAAATCTGCTCATGGGATACCTGTTTATTCTCAACATCTAGGTTATGCCAAGATTTAAAGCAGTATAATTTGTGCCCAGACAGTGCGGCTCAGTGGTTGAACATCAGCCTGTGAATCAGGAGGTCAGGGTTCAATTTCTGGTCAGGGCATATGCCCAGGTTGTGGGATCAATCCCCAGTAAGGGGCATGCAGGAGGCAGCCAATCAGTGATTCTCATCATTGATGTTTCTCTCTCTCCATTACCCTTCCTCTCTGAAATAAAAATATGTTTTTAAAAAAGAAAGCAATATAATTGGTGGTTTTGTAGATTCACATTTAAGTTTTTTGCACATGAAAAATTATTAGAATTTAGTTTTGGTTTAATGGTTTTCATTACGGATGGTTGCCTGAATATTGTGGATAATTTATCACCTTCATGAGTTAACTTGAAGTTAACTTTAAAGTAAAGTTATGGAGGAGGATGAATGGTACAGAACAGCGGAGTTTCCTGCAGGCCACGGGATGTGCAATAGTGCAACAACCCAACTACAGAGGAGAGAATCCAACAGCTTCTGTGAAGCCAGACTTAGAGACTTGCAGAAATAAAAAAAAGTAACTATTACTTTTCTACAAATGGTTTTGCTTTCAAAAACATTTTTACAAGAATATGCTGTTTATGTTGCCATATAATAAACTTTTTGTTCTTTTAAAATATTAAATTTTTCTTAGCTCTAATTTCTTATGTAATAAAAATTGTTAGCTACAACCCATACAAAACTCTTGAGGACCTCAATCATTTGTAGTTGATTTCTATTTTTATACCATGTGGTTCGAGAAGATGCCTGATATGATTTCAGTATTCTTGAATTTAAGACTTATTTTGTATCCTAACATGTGGTCTGCCTTTGAGAATGTTCCATGTGCACTTGAGACTTCCAAACTTGTTATAATGGCTGTAGGATGTAGGTGTCTTGTTGCACCCCATGGCACAATCTTCCAGATAACGTGAACTTTGTGCTCCAGGAATATTGTGGGTAATGTATATCCTTTTGTTGTAGTTGCATCTTGAATGCTGTTGGTCTTTTTGTGGGCGAAATTAACCCTTCATGCTGGTTACTTGAGAGTAATGTATATTGTGCTTTGGGATGAAATGTTCTGTGAGTATCAATTAAATCCATCCAATTCAGAGTGCCTTTTAAGGTTGCTGTTGCCTTGTTGATTTTTTTGTTTGGAAGTTCTGTGCTTTGATGACAGTAGGTTGGTAAAATCTCCTACCATGACTGTATTACTGTTGATCTTTTCCTTGATTTTCAACAAAATTTTCTTTCTGTATTTAGGTGCTCCTATGTTGGGTGCACATATGTTTATTAGATCAATCCCATTTCTATTATGTAGTGACCTTACTTTGTCTCGTGTTATGACCTTTGTTTTGAAGTCTGTTTTGTCAGATATAAGCATTGCTACACCAACTTTTTCTTACCATTCAGCTACCCTATGTCTTTTGATTGGAGCATTTGATAATTAAGGTTATCATTAAAAGGTACTTATTACCATTTTATTCTTTATAAGAATTTCTTGGTCTTAAAATCTTTGACATTTTAATTATGATGTGTGCCTCTTTAGGATCATCTTGTTTGGGACTGTTGTGTGGTTTTTTTTTTAAACTTTTCTGACTTCTTCGCTCACTAGGTGGGAAAGTTTGCGGTCATCATTTCTTCAGTTTTTGATCCCTTGCTCACCTTTTTCTGGTATGCCTGTGATGTGGATGTTGTATGCTTGATGTCTAAGAATCCCTTAGACTTCTCATTTTTAAAAATTCTTTTCTCTTTTTGATGCTTTACTGTTATCTTGTCCTCTAAATCGCTTATTCAATCCTTTGCCTGCTGTTGATTCCTTCTATTGTAGTCTTTATTTCAGATATTGTATTCTTCATTTTGAACTGGTTCTTTAAGTTCTCACTGGTTATCCATCTTCCTCTAAGGATCTTGGTCATTCTTATAACCATTGTTTTAAACTCTGCATCTGATATTTTGGTTACTTCCATTCCACTTAATTCTTTTTCTGGACATTTATCTTATTCTTTCATTTGGGGCATATGTCTTTGTCTCTCCATTTTGTCTCTGTATTAGATAGATCTGCTATGACTTCCAAATTTGTTATAATGGCTATATGATGTAGGTGTCTTGTTGCGTTCCATGGCACAATCTTCCAGATAACATGAGCTTGGTGCTCCAGGAATATTGTGGGTTACGTTGTAGTTGCATCTTGAATGCTGTTGGTCCTTTTGTGGGTGAAATTAACCCTTCATGCTGGTTGCTATAAGGGTAAACCTCGGTCATGTGCATGAAGTGCAGCCCCGAGGTGTAGTTCTCAGCAGGGTCTGGAATCCTCTTTTGGATGTGCCACTTGTTTAACTAGTTGAGTTGAGCTTGGTTGTGATCTGAATCCCACCACTGGTTGTGTTAGTTTTGTATCCACTTGGGTGGGGTTCAGGTTAGGTTGATGTCACACATTGTGTTTAATAGGCCTTGGGCTAACTGGAGCTACCATGCTGTTTGTGGCTGTGTTTATTGGGCCCAGATGTGTGTGGGAGAGGCCAATCTGTGTATAAGCATCAGCTTTCTCCAGCTTAGAGCTGGGGGCAGATCTGTGGAAGGACTGAGTCTCTCTGAGGTCTGCCTCCACCTGTCAGCTAGCTACTCCACCTCCCCTGAGATGCTCTGGTCTTCCTCCAGAGCCTTCTAAAGAAAGACTGTAGGGTGGGCCCAGGCTGGCCATGATCTACAGACCCTTCCACAGATTGTGAGCTCAGTAGGGTAGATCAAACGAGGTTGAGTAGGTAGGGTTAGAGGGTCTACTTGGGAGGTCATGCAGTTAGGCATTTAAGGAGGGGAAAGTAGCCCCTGCTCCAGGGCCGTACTTACCGCTGTCAGTGTCTCCAACTCTAGCTTCCCCAGGAGGAGCACACTGCAGGTGTAGGTAGGGTGCATCCAGCTGTACCCACCACAGGAGCAAGCTCAGCCACACAGAGCCAATGGGCTCAGGGGGACAGATCAAAAGAGCCTCCCATTGGGGTAATGCTGGCCCAGCCAGCAAAATAGGTCTAAGCACTTCATCCCCATCCTCGACAATAGTTTCAAGGGACTCGCACTTGGAAGTTCTCAGCTCTTAGCTGCTCTCCTTTCCCTTTGCAGAACTGAGCCCAGAGGGTTTGGGTATTGGTGCCTGGCAGGGCTGATCCAAACAATCAATTGGGGATGGTGCCTGCAAGCCTATAGGAGGGGGTAGACACTTGCCCCTTCCCAGGGTAGCGTAGGCTGGGATTGCAGAGAAGTTAGTGCCCGAGCACCCTGAGAAGTAGTAATGCCCATCTGATTCCTAGGTAAAAGCTTCTCCAGGAGACACTCAGAAAGTCCCAGCTCTGCACAGCACTCTGGTCCAGGTATGGCTGAACTCAGCAAGACAGAGCTGGCCATGCAATTCAAAGGTCAGGGGAGGAGCGCCATCTATGCCTTTCCAAAGCCACACAATTTAGTCATTTCCCGAATCTCTGCCAAGAATCCTCCCCAGAAAAAGAAGTCACTGCTGGGCACAGACAGCAGACACCCCTGTAGGACCCAAGTATGTGTCAAGCTGGGGACCTAGCAGTGCACACCCAGGCTGGTGCTGTAACAATGGGAATGCTCGTCCGTAGGAAGGTGGCATCTGGGAGACCTAGACGGACTGAGTCATCACTGACTTTCAACACCAGACGCTATGTGGGCTCCTCTTCCCATCTGCATTGCCTTAGGAATCCCAGGAAAGGGAATTTTGAATCTACCATATCCCTCTGGCTTCTCAGCTGCCACACTTGGGGCCAGCCCTTCCAGGGTCCACCTTTCTTACCAGTCTCTAGTGGCTGCTTCTGTAAATCCTTGGTTAGAATATTTCAGTTCAGTTGGCCTTCTGTTAGTTATTGAGGTTGATGGCTCTCTAATTTAGCTGTATACCTGGTTTCCGGAGGTGGTGAGGATAGCTTTCACCTACTCATCAGCTCTCTGGGTTAAATTTGACAGGTTTTGATAGGAATTGATTTCTCTAGGTTGTCAATTTTGGGGGCATATAATTAATTTTAGGATTCCCTTACAACCTGTTTATTATCTTTGGGGTCTTTAGTGCTATCACCTCTTTCGTTGTTGATATTGGTAATTTGTGTCTTCTCTACTTTTGTTCTTTGTCAGTCTTGCTGAAGGTTTAGTAATTTTATTGATTTCTGGTTTCCATTTCATGCCTCTTTATGCCTCTGTTTTTCTGCATTCCGTGATTTTATTCTGCTCTTCTTTTTCTAATTGCTTAAGGTTGAAGCTTAGATTAATAATTTGAGATTTTTCTTCTTTTCTAATAAAAGCATTTAATGTAATACATATTTCTGTCATCACTGTTTAGCTACAAGTCGCAACCAGCCTTCTATGGTTTGTGGTCACAAAGTTCCATCTACACTGCCCTGGCACCGTTAATTGGGTCAGTCCCCTGTGTGTGCTGCCCAGGGTCTGTGTGGGACCTGGACATTGATGTCTCAGGTCTAGGATAAAAGATATGCTGTTTAGAGTTGGATCTGCACGAGCACGTCTCACGGGAGAGCCCAGGAGTCAATGTCCTGAAATGTTCCCATTCTTTTATTTCCCTGATTCTCCCCAGTCCCTGGTGCTCTCCTGTACAGTCCTGTACCTGAGAAATGGGCTTTCTCTATCCCACTCCGTATCAAGACTGTGCCCACTTCCAGGGTCAAGGTAGTAAAAGAGTAAAAACAATAGGTAAAAAAAAGCCCGCCCACCCTACTTGGAGCCAGCTCCCAATCAGAAAAGGCAGTGCTTGTGGCAGCAGGGGACTGAAGCACGAAAATGTAGAA